TTTAGCTTGTTGTATACGATTTACTAAATATCGAAGCTGATCTAAATTGTTAAGTGATGTATGTATTTCAGATAATATATTAACTCTAAAATATGCATGTATAAGATTGCCTAAATTATATAAAATATATTAGTTTATAAATTTTATAAAAAATAAAAAAATAAACTTTATTACTTAAAATAATTTTTCGTGGAGTAATATGATTCAAATATTCAGAAGCATTATTAATCATTTTATTAATACGATCTTTAATTGCTTCTGAAATATGGCTAGGTGGTAGAGGTGGATGAGCATGTTCACCAATACTCACAAGAGCAACATATGGACATTTAATTAAATCTACTGGAGTAAGCTGATAAAATGTAACATCACATGACAAATAAATTAAATTAACTTCTATTAGATTTCCATTATCATCTATATATGGAAATGCTAAATAAAATATTTATAAAATTAATAATTAATATTAATTTTTATAATTTTAATATAATTATTAAAAAATTATTTTTTATTATTTACAGCATATTAATCGTTTAGAACTATTTGATAAAACAGTATTGCAATTATTATTTATTTCAGATTGATTTAATTGCTAAGTTTATAAAAAAAATTAAATTAATAATTGTAATAAATTATTATATTATACTTAAAATTAGTATTAATTAATATTATTTAAATTACCATTCCATTAATTAAATTTTTTAATAAATAGCGATCAATAGCTTCAGTAAGTAGTACATATCGGTGTCCAGTAGTACCATACTTCCAAGATGTACAACCAAGAAAGTATCCATGATTTAGATTAATATTTGATTGTAACTCATTTGAATTAAGAGCTTGTATTCGCCTTTTCTTAATAACTAAATCACCAGTACATCGATTACCATTAACTTGAATATACAGACAAGGTATTTTTTTAGCTGCTAGATAAAACCTAATATAAATAGTAAATTTTATTTAAACTTTAAAATATAATTAATAGTTAAATTTATATAAATATTAAATATATATTACAACAAAATATTTGCTTGAATACTTCGAGATTCATCAGCATTTTTAATTGTTTGAAAAATACTAGAATCAAAATCAACACTAGTAT